TTGTTTGGCACTTCTCAACGATTGATTGCAGCCGCTCGTAGAATCGATCTTTAATGTCGTCGTTGCTATCATTGGTGGGTGCATAATATTAGACAATATTCATTGTGATCCCCTCCTTCTTTGTTTTGAATGATGCTTTGATGATTCTGGATCCGTGAGACTCCCATCCTACAAGTGCATTTCGTGCTACTTTGGACAGCATTAGAGCAATTCCCTGTGTGTGTGTGTGGAGCATTTTCCTCTCCGTGACCGGAGTATAGCAGCATCTCTCCCGTAGCTAGCCTTTGTTGTCTAGCTTGGGTCCAATGGGTTTCGTTGAGTCACAGTACTACCAAGTTGTATCTCCTCATTTCCGTTGCTATTTGACTGATCTTCCCGGTTTTCCAAATTGTCCGGACGTTCCATGTACCTATAAAAATTGTTGCTCTGGTCGTTAGAAGGGGTGTAGAACTATGGTCTACTATGATATTAGTACTGCTCTAATAATAGACCTAATCCTAAATTTGTAGATTCGTCATGATATAACTGCCTAATCTATAAGATCTTACGTGGAAGTCACACCATCGACTACGCCAACTCACTGTATCGTATCAATTACCAATACATGATGAAGAACAAGATTAGGTTAGAGAAGGAACAATATATTTAATATGAATAGAGACCACGCCTGCATGGCCGAGCCATGCCACTCGATCAACTCCAGTCCATTCAATTCATTGTTCGCGCCTTCTCCATTGTTAGGTATTTCTCCGCGTTAAATATTGAATATCTATTTTCTGAGTAGTCTCGTGTTCACAGCTTTGTGGATTGTGTGGCTATTGTCCAATGCCACTACACTACTCTCCCACCAGAATCAACGTGATGTTGGTTCGATACCAAATTGGATGGGATCGTCGTGCGCCGAAGGTTACCAAGACTAGGAAGAATCCCCCGGGTAATGATAAGCTGAAAGATAATTCAAAAAGAAGGCGGCAGCATCTGGTCGGGAAATACATGTAATAATTTTTTTTTTTTTTAAAATCTGCCTTCATGCTTAACACACTTAAAATGACAATTTGGGTGAAGATTATTTGAGCTATAAAAAAAAATGGGATTACAGTAATAATAATAAAACAATGCGTGTTAATAGCCGTTGGTTAATAACTTGACGTATAGGTAGTAAGTATTTTGTGTTTAGAAATATTAAAGTAATGAATATTGTAGAAATGTTAATATTGGTATTAGTTTTGGTTTAAATTATGAAACCAATTAACAATTATGCCGGTAACCCGTCCATATGTGATTTCCAATTGCATCTGTATTAGTAGGCTAACTGAGAGAACAAAAGTATTACCATGGAAAAGAATTCCAACTAGTGTTCCAGTTAGTTTGATACGGTTTATTTAGTTACGGGGAGATTTTCTCAACTTCATTTTTACTTGACCGTGATAGAATTTAGTAATACTACCAATACACATGAATGGTTATCAAAATAAAATTTAAATACGTGAGTGATAATTATATGAATTTTGGACAGATAGCTAGGAACAAATCGCTAAACATGAGTGTGTTCGTAAGAGACATGCTCTGGACTCAATGTTCTGATCTGCAATAAACTATTTATTTATATTTATACTTGCTGGCTGATTGGGCATACAAGTTAGTTGCAAGTATGCAGTTTATCATAAGGCGGAATAAGATTAAATTGAGATATAGTGGTTATAGGTTATTAAAATCAGTTAGGCCTGTGTCATATTACGAAGTGATGTGGTGCCGCAGGATGTATTCGGCTAAATAAGCTTTTACAAGATGATTAACAGTGAGTGATGCTCATGTGATTATCAGGAAGAACACAAGTTGTAACCAAGGGGAGTACACTCCCAACTCACGTCTATGATAATGGCTTGAACCTTAGTCAGTGTTGGGGTAAATTCGACATTGATGTTTTCAGTTTGCAGGAGATTTGCTCGACTGCTTATACTGATTATTTGCATGCATGATTGTGTCGCTAAACCTCCAATTAGACTGACAAGGTTTTGAGATATTTACTGAATGAGCAACTGATAGAGAAACATACTGTAATCATCCGTAGTGAATGAAGATAAAAGAAAAACAACACTAGTGATAATTATAAGTCAATTTGTTGACCGATTTCGTTAAAAGTTTCATTAATTTTATCAGTCATATTACGTGATTGTCAAGTCATGACAATGCTTTATGACGATATTCTGAAACTATTACGTTTAACTAGTTATAGTGTTGATTGAGGATTAGTCAGTGGAAAAATAGGTATTGTTGCTTTAGGTGATTCGAAATCATCAGAAACTTATAACGTTAAAGAATCCGAGACGCCTAATTTAATTATAAATTTCAATTCAGAAATATTCGTTTAGTGTTAATTTTAGTAGGCTACGGAGTTTTGATTTTAAACGTTTGTTTAGCCAACAGCTACCTGGGGATTTAGTTATTTTATTAGTGCAGTTGACAGTACCTAAATTTTTAATCTTATTATCTAAACTATGTTCGCATTTTAGGCTGGTAATATGATAAACCAATTCATAAACCCAAATACGATTAGCAACAACGACTATGATGGGTTTACTGATAAATATTAAAGACGACTCAGAAGATTTCTAAATTTAGAAGACATGAAGATATAGTGCAACGCGTATGTGGGTCAGGTTAACATGCAGGTTGTTGACGTATATGACAATTTAAAAATAATGAACATGATCAGGAAAAGTAATTTTAAAGTCAAGACTGCTTATGAAACTTCAAGCAGGGATGTAACGCATTATAAACTTTCCATGAGAAATTCCTGCATTTAGCCTAGATACACTGACAAATATATGGCAAAAACAACTGGAAAACATATACATGCTAAGTACAAAAAAAAAATCGTCCAGTAAAATAGTTAAACTCGCCTGGATTATTTTTGAAAATTATATTATTCAGTGGACGACATATATAACGCCATTCGTAAGGAGTAGTAATGATCCAAAAGTATCCAGAATAAAACATGCAGTATGGCAATTAATTCCAGGGTGCTTGATGGTGTTGACGTTTCTGCCACTCGCTCGGATTAGAACAATCGAATGAATTCAGTTAATTGTGTGGTTGTTATTGAACGAGTCATCTAAAATGACTTTATGATTGCAGAAAACTTATAGCTGAAACTCACCGTATGTTTTTGGAGAAGTGTCATCCTTGTTGTTTGGCAATGGAACTCGAAAATATGAAATTAGGCAGGCGGTGGTCAGAAGAAAGATATTACAGGATAGTGCATAGTTTAAAACAGGATGAGGTGTTAACCGAAGGAACACTAAAAATTAGATCCAGATAACTATTCAATCCTTGATTGCCTTGTTAGTCAATGTATATTTACGCTATTTACAGGTCATATTTGCTAGAGCTTGATGTTTAAACAAGTCTATGTCGCTGAAGCAGGTAAATGCTATTAAAGCTTGTTAACGAACCATCAAAGCTAATTAGTTGATATAGATGATCAACTTTTATTATCGATTGAGCCAGTAAGTTATGTGAACTGATAGATATAACATTACGATAATATATGTGACCATTAATCAAAGGACTATTAGAATATTGGGTTTACAAAAAATAAAAACCGATTGAGAAGGTTAAGGTGGAAATAAGGATTAATAATAATAGGTTGCGTTTCTTTAGTTGAGCTCACCAATGTAGAACTATGGTCTACTATGATATTAGTACTGCTCTAATAATAGACCTAATCCTAAATTTGTAGATTCGTCATGATATAACTGCCTAATCTATAAGATCTTACGTGGAAGTCACACCATCGACTACGCCAACTCACTGTATCGTATCAATTACCAATACATGATGAAGAACAAGGTTAGGTTAGAGAAGGAACAATATATTTAATATGAATAGAGACCACGCCTGCATGGCCGAGCCATGCCACTCGATCAACTCCAGTCCATTCAATTCATTGTTCGCGCCTTCTCCATTGTTAGGTATTTCTCCGCGTTAAATATTGAATATCTATTTTCTGAGTAGTCTCGTGTTCACAGCTTTGTGGATTGTGTGGCTATTGTCCAATGCCACTACAGGGGCATCGGCCTCGTGGCTTTCGAAGGAACTCGGCTTTCGCCATGAAGCGTCATAATTCTTCTAAATGAAGACCTTCTAACTCCCAGGGCAGAGTTTAAATGGTTTGAATTATTTTTTCTGGTAAGCGTATTTTTTAGCGAGTAGTTTTCTGTGAAGTGGGGTCGCTAACCCTATGCTCAACCTTCCTCCTTTACCCGGGCTTGAGACTGGCAGTAACTGTAGAAGTGCTACAGGCGGAGTTCTTGAGGATTTTACCAATCTTTAGTAATAAACTATCTCTATAACTGGTGTTCAGGCTTATGAATAAATTGTATTAGGGGATCTAGAATGCATTTAATACTAGTTAATGGGATGCTAATTATTGGAGTCGGTTATAGGGAAAACAATCCTCTACATTTCTGCACAGAGACAACAGCATAGTTCGGACACGAAAATTTCCACTGAGAATCACTTTAGTTATAGATTTAGGTGAAATAATGTCTCAGTCTTTGTGTACATATCAGTTGTTACCTTTTGAATCAGGTGACATCAATAAGAGTATTTCTCCTGTAGGTGAGTTCTCTGCTTGTTGGTACTGGTTAAAAACTGCTTGTGGGTATTAGTGAAAACAATAGGATGGGAAAACAGGGCTAAAAGCTAGTTCGGACGGGTTCTAAATGTAGAAACACTCTTCATTTCAAAAATACCCAGATATGTCAAGATTATTGCGGCCATTTTGAAACACGCTAGCGCAGTTATAAAAGAAATAAAATTGAGTATTACGTTTTTGTTTCACGAAGTAATAGGGCACTCACAGTTAGATAAAAGTCAAACGCTAGGAGTGAAAACCATATACTTCTCAGTTTTCTATCATTATGTTCAGAATTTCTATCAGCTTTTAATTGAAGATTGAAGACTTTCGACCTTGTTGAAATTAGCACCGAGGCGCATCAGTTGTATCTGTGCACAGGTAGGTCTCGTGGTTGGCATGTATCGATGCTTTATCTGATCCCTTCGGATTTTGAGTTAAATTTATAACGGTTTACCCCCAGGTATTATAATGGCAGTTGGCGGTCAGAAAAAAGTTACAAAAGGAGGAAAGAAGGGCGGGAAGAAGAAAACGTACGATATTAAATTATTAAGCTTTATCTATATAGGTCCGACCCATTCACCAAAAAGGAGTGGTATGACATTAAGGCTCCAGCTATGTTTTCCAAGAGAACTTGTGCACGAACACTTGTGACACGAACTCAAGGCACACGTATAGCCAGTGAAGCACTCAAAGGTCGTGTAGTTACACTTAGTCTCGGAGATCTCAGCGAGAAGAATGAAGAATTCTTCCGCAAATTTAAACTTCAGGTTGAAGATGTCCAGGGACGTCACTGCCTAACCAATTTTCATGGACTGGAACTTACTCGAGACAAGTTGTGTTCAGTTGTTGTCAAGTGGCGTTCAACCATCGAAGCACATGTTGATGTAAAGACAACAGACGGATACTTACTCCGTTTCTTCATAATCACGTTCACTCCAAGTGTTCCTCGGTCCGAAAGACTCCATTCTTACGCACAGAGCACACGTATTAAACGAATACGTGCGCGTCTTGTTGACATTATTCAACAGGAAGTTTCTACCTGCGACTTGAAAGAGGTCGTCAATAAGCTGTAAGTCGGAGATTTCTAGCTAAGTTTCTCAGTATTCCAGACTCCATTGCACAGGATGCTCGAAAGGCTGCATCATGGATTTATCCACTTAGTGAAACATTTATTCGCAAGGTTAAGGTGCTAAAAAAACCGAAAGCTGATCGTAAGTCCGACTATGTTTTCGTTCATTTTTTAGTTGCCCGGTTGATGGAACTTCATGGCGAGTCGAAGTCAGCCGCTCCTGGGGAAACTGTTTCTCGCCCAGATCACTATGAACCTCCAAAAGTTGATTCAGTGTAATTCAATATAAAATTCACCTGGATATTATTGTCTTTCCCAATTATTAGCAACTGGATATATGTTGGCGTGATCATTCCATTGATAGCTCGTCCTATTTACTGTTCCCACTTGATTAGGCTATATACCGTGCATTTCATTCCCATGTTAGCGCCCACACGTAGTAATTGTAATATCGTTGATTTAGTAATCGATTGCCGGTTGGTTCCGCAATTACGCAGTAGCTGCTCTGTTTTATGGAAAATGTGTTTTTCAAGAACACCATATTAAGTATTAATAAACTTCCCTGTAGGTAAGATGAGGTTCAGGGGTCAGTCACGCTACAGTTCTTGAAATCTTGGCAATCTCACTTTCCCACTCAGTTCTCTTCGTCACAATTCTTGGTAGTTTCGTACTTTTTCTAGACATTACTTAAGTCACTAAGCTTCACTAAATGCTATACTTGGCAACCAATACGAAAAGCCCAGCTTGTGATAAGCAAGTATGATACTAGGTTAGTAACATAGAATAAACGGTTTGGTCCTTCACACATTGTCTAAGCTGCTATGTAGTTGCTTTAGAATCTTGAGGATAATCACCTTTCTTTTCTCTACACGCGTTCAAATGTTGAGATTTCTAATCAACCCGATTGTACTTCATATTCTCAGATTTGCGCTAACTGCATGGTGGATTGTGTTGGGAGTAGATGCAGTTTCTACTTCGACTTGTATACCTGAAGTTACAACATGATGTAGATTTGCGTTATTGGTTAACGGTTATGCTGACCAGCAGTAGCTTCGCATTAGCTGGAACTCCTTCAAATGACCTTCCATTGAGTTAGAAATGAGAAATTACTGCATTTGCAGGTTTCTCTCGTGGTAAATTATTAAGAATAATAAGTGTTCATCTCTGGTCATTTTTGTGTAAATAATATGGGGCGTGTTTTGACGTGTCTGGTAACTTTAAGTTAGAAAGTGTATGCTGTATCTCATTCTTTGGGCGTTCCACGAGCTAATCACGCCAAAGCGTGGTTTTTCGCTTGTTGGCATTGTTTAGCCGAACCCCGAACTGAACGCAGGCCCAAGCCACTACATTGGTTTAGTTGCAATAGTGTTGATAGTCTTCGCTTCCGAGAAAAACGTGATGAAAATCTCTTATTTGAAGGGATCGATGACTGAGAAACCGCCAAATTATTAAAATGAATACTTGAGTATTAGAAGTAGTCATAGTATCAACTATAGCAAAATATATTAAGCCTAGGTGATTTTATTGGAAAGTATTCGCGGAATTAAACATGTAGGATAAGTTTAAAATCCATCATCTTAAAAAACAGCGAAGTTGTGGCTTTGGGCTGGTCCTGGTACAGGTCATAATACAAAAACCCGCTATTTCTGGGAGTAATGTTTTGCAGCCATAGATTTAGATTACTACTTAGGGTACCGTCCATTTGGTTTCTCGAAAGACGTGTCACCTGTCTCACAGGTAGCTTGAGTATGGGAAAACCAAGCGAGCTTCGTGAATTCAAGTCATAAACTGATGGGAACCGTATTTCATGTATCACTAAATTGGCAGTTGAATTACTCAGCATATGCTTTGTATAGATAGTTTTGGTGTGGTTATACTGAATTATTTGTCTTTTTCATTTGGACTCGGTGTTTTTTCATGTCACGAACGAAAGATCCGCATAAAACAAATAAAGCTAACGGAGTTCACAGCCCTCACACATATCAAATGAGATCTGTGTGGCGCATATCTATTCGGTACCTCCTTGTACCAATATCTATGTGTTAAAATAAATGAATAAATTCATTTACGTAACGTTTCTTTGAGAAAGCTGGGAATTGTTAATGGGAATTTTCGTTGGTAATTTGAATTAGTACTGATTGCTATTTTTTTTAATGACTGACAGCAAGACTTGATTTTCGCTCCCGGGTTTTAACGGCTTCTTTTCATCTTAAGGTCTGATCGTTGAGATGCGGATTTACTCCGGTTAAATAAAGGCCATAGCAACTTAAGCTTCTACAGGATCTTTTAGCAAGCGCAGACCTTTACTACATGTTTGGTTCATATAGTTATATCTAAATAAACTGAAGTGGTTTACGACTTCGCACTGTTGATACTAAACAACCCCAGTGTATTCTCGTCCTATGAAAGTATGAGATAGATAATCAAGATGTATTTGGATTTTGCTAAGCTTCATTATCTGTCAGTCGGTTAGATATATGAATGTTTATTGAATGTTAAGAACTTTGCACAGTGGTTACTTCACGGATATGAAACATAGTTATCAAAGGTTTTAAGATGTTTTCAGCTTCAAACTGAAGAATCTCTGCTGCGGGATATTGCCACGTAAATGTAGATCGTCGTGTATGGTGGGGAAGAGTTTGCCTGTGCTATGGATGTTCTCTGTGGTCTTGGGTATGTGTGCATATATGGGTAGACCAACATGCTATCGCGACTGAGATGATAGTCTGGGGTTCCAAGAGGTGTTGAGGTCGAAGTGTGACTATGATTTATGAAAATAAATCAACTGTAGCAACTCAAATGCCTTTGTTCCTTCCCCTCATTTAAATGTTGAGGATCCTATCACCGTATTTTTATTTATTGCCTCCTTTTCATGTTCTTGTTTTCATCATTGTTCATCAACATCATGATTTACTAGTGCTACTTTTCCTCGTCAAATCGTAGAGGGCGCTGTTGATGAACTAATCTATCGAATAATATTTGTCTTACTTCAAGAAAGCTCATGACGGTTGCGGAATAGGCCATATTTCATATGTAATTTGGAAAAACGTTTCTTAGCATTGGAAGTCTGTAGAGGATATGTTATACGTGAATGACCCTCAATACCCTAACACATCGTTTTTTTAGGAATAGGAGTAAATTACTCGATTAATTGTTGAAACGCTATCAGTTTTTTTAACTTCATATGAATAACTCTAACGACCATTATGTTTCATGCACACGAAGGAGGTGTTTGAAACTTTGAAGTCAATATATTAATTTAGTGTAATAATCAATGTATTCAAATGCTCGGGTACGGGATGGAATTTTCAGAATATTAAATTGTGGCGAATTCCTCTTACTCCATTTTGATTGCAAAAACCAAAAAAATTGTAGAGGTTAGTGGAATTACTTTCGCTTTTGAAGTAATAAATCATATTTCTACAGCTGAAACTAACAGCTTGAGGGTCAGTTTACCTCTGCTGAATTTTAGTTGCAAAGCGTAAAATGTTAGATAAGGCATTGCAATACTTATGAGTTTATTTGTTTATCTATTTGAACACATAAATATTGGTACAGGAGAGCGCCAATATATATGCGCCGCACAAAACAATGAGAATTCGAAGAGAAAGAAAAAAAGGTAAGGAGCGTAAAAAAAAGAACAATAACGAAGAGTTTGGTGTAAGATAGTATAGTAATAGTAATAGTAATAATGAGAGAACGGAAAGGTACAATCAGAAGAAATCTTTCAGCTAAGGGAGACAACCACTTTTTATGAAGAAAGTAAAAGAAGGTTACAGCAGGATCGCCACTGACTTCTATTCTGAGCCATATCTGATAACGTCTCTAGCCACTGTGTCGCACCATCTCTCGGACCCCAACCAGAAAGTCGTGAAGGACCAACACAAGCCAGTCCTTTGCAGCTTTCTTTCATGCCACGACACCATGTCATACACTGACCACCTCTCCGCTTCTTCCAACCAGTCCCAGAGTCGGCAAATAATGCACGACGTGGAATTTTCTGGGACGACATTCGTAGAACACCGAAATCGATGTTTCAGAATAGTGACACCAATTGGATTATCGTCTCTACACCCGAACACACGATGCCGAACCTCTGCATTACTGATATGGTGTTGCCACTGGATGTTAGCAATCCTTCGGAGACAGCGATGATCAAACACAGAGTCATCTAACATCCTCAACTCGGAGAGGCCAGGTTTCACAAGCATAGAGCAAAACTGCTCCCACCGACGCGTTGTAGATCCGACTTTTTACAGCTAGACTAACATCATGAAGGCGCCAAAGGCAGTCCAGATTGGCATAAGCCGCTCTGGCTTTCACTATACGTGCATTGATCTCATCACTCACACTGCCACCAGCACTTATGCAGCTACCTAGATACACGAACTTCTCGACTACTTCTATCTGCTCACCATACAGGGTGAGTACAGGATTAGAATCCTGCCAGTCTTGTAGAAGTACTGTGCATTTCGAAGGTGCAAAGCACATGCCGTACCTACGGACACTGATTGCCAACTGATTAAGTGCGGATTGCATGGCTTGGGCATTATCGCACAGTAAGACAATATCATCCGCATACTCAAGGTCGAGAAGTCTTTCTCCAGACAACAGATCCACACCACCATTACTTACATCCATCAGAGCTGTTTCCAGAATGTCATCGATGGCAAAGTTGAAGAGGAATGGTGAGATTGGGCAACCCTGCCTAACCCCACTGCTCGAATGGAACAATAGAGAGAGGTGGTTGTATGCCCTCACTCTACCTGAGGTGTTTGTTTACAGGGCTTCTAGGATGTTACTAAACTTCTCAGGCAACCCTTCTTCAATAGACAATCCCAGAGAACAGTTCTGTCCAACGAATCGAAGGTAGCCCTGATGTCAAGAAACACTACGATTGTTGGCCTTTGATAAGTATGGCGGTGTTCTAACATTTGGTGGAGGGTGAAGATATGATCAATACATCCTCGACCGGAACGAAACCCAGCCTGCTCCTCGCGAGTCAATCTTTCTCGGGTTTTGAACAACCTACGAAGTATGACGGAAGCCAATAGCTTGGACGCAATCGGAAGTAGACTTATCCCCAGATAGTTGTTACAGAGACGACGTGAACTCTTTTTAAAGATAGGGACAACTATCGACTCATTCCATGACGTTGGTACACTCTCTAGCTCCCAAACCTTTGTAAACAACGTCGTCAATTCCTTAGTCAGAAAGTCACCACCATCAAATATGATAATACTTCTGAGAGCCATCAGAGTTTTATGCTACACAACACAACATAGCAGAGGACTTTTAAA